GGTTGTAGCACAAGTGCAGTCATTTGAAAGCTTATAGGGCTAAAAGTACTGAACCATATCCTACAATAATTTTATTCCAATTAGGAATATTATACTTTCTTATTTCTTTTCTATTTTTTTTATTCTGTTTTTCTTTCCTATTAGAAGCAATCAAAAAACACAATGTACCTGACGTTCAATGCCAAGACTCACTGTTTCCAATCTAGGGTCGGTTCTCGTCATAATACGAATGACGCGCAGGAGACGACAAGAAGAGTTCTGAAAACTGTAAAAAACAATTCCTTCTTTTTTTTTTGAAATTAGCGAGAATTGAAAGGTTGTCAAAACTTGTCTTAGAAATCTGTCTCGTGGGTCTCGGTTCTTCATGGAATAGAAAGGTTTAACAAAAAATTTTGCCTATTACCAAAAAACTTCTTATTTTTGCCTATTCGTGTGTTACCATACAGTGTGTGACAAAAAATTCTCTTTTTGCCACCTTCACAAGGTTTTTCCACTGAGTTAAATCACTGTAACGTTTTAGATAAGATGGAAAAACGGTTAAGAAACCAGCAATGCGCTTTTTCATTACCTTTCTTTGTCTGTAGAGTCGGCATCTTGGCTACCGGAGAAAATTTCAAGAATAAGGTTTTTTTATTTTTCTTGCCACTCCTCTATGGAATTATTTAATATTTAAGGATAACTTTATTTCCAAGCCGGTTCGATAACATCTGATTTATCGTGGTGCTTTACTCCAATTTCGTGTGTCAAAAACTAGAAAGCAGATATATTGTTTGGAACATTCTGAAGTTATGAAAGTTTCATAGAAATTCTAGGATATTTAGTTACTTCATTTCCAAAGTTTTCTTACAAGTTTCTTTGCCAAATCTCTTACTCAAAACATTCTTGATTCCCTGCATTTATCTCATTTCACTTGTCTCATTCGTCTAACACTACAAAGTAAAAAATAATAGCATTACCTTGCTCCCTCATGACTATGCCTTTAAAAATAGTCAGGAATGCAAAAGCGAAGTTTAAGTGACTAGAAAATCATGGAAGCAGCAGTTTTTGTATTTTATCACCTACGCAAGAGCCACGGAAGCGTAACGAAGACAACCAACTAACTTGCAACTTTTTCAGTCACTTAACACATATAAATGTGCAGTTAAAAGACAGTTTGTATACTTTTTTCCAATTGATATCTTAGAATTAGTTTTTTTGATTAGAAGAAAATAAATTTTAATTTGAAAAGTCAAGAAGAGAATTTTGGAAAATAAATTCTTTTTCAGTCATGCTCTCTAAAAATTGCAAAAGTCAGGTTTCCGTTCGACGCGCCTATCTTACAATAACTGTAGCTCAATATAATCTCAGCAAAATTTGAAGATTTTTGGTTTGTTCAACCACTGAACGCATACAACGCATATTCTGTGAAACAGAAGTATAGATGCAAAAAAAAGCAAGAGTTTGAAGTTACACGTAGAAAAATCATTTTAAATTTTTGAAGAAATTATTTTTTTAAATAATTTTAAATATTCTATTACACAATGAAATTTTGTGACGAAGTGATAAGAATCACTTCTGTCACAATTATTATATGCATTTTAAAAGTGGTGAAATTATCTTCCCTATACAGCCTGTTTATAAAAGCAGAGGAGGACCGTTATCAATGTTAAGTAGACTTCAAGCGCTCAAGATTTCTTCAAAGAGATTGCATTTTATGCAAAAACATTCCCAAATTACAGCTTTGCGGTTGAAAATTTCCAATTTTAGCACCTGCAGCGGCAGATTAGGAGAATGCTTCTGGTAATTTAAAAAAAAATTTCTAAGTTGTCAGATGCATTTCCATAATTTCAATTGTCAATGTCCTGGTTTAACAAGCAGGTAGAAACTCAATTTTTTTT